ATGTGGTGATTTTTTATTTTTTATTTTTTTTTAGGATATGAGGGGACACTTCCTCATCTTCCCAGCCCCAGGCACTGGGGGAGCAGAGTCTGGCAGGAGCTGCATTGCAGGCAGAGTCCTTGCTCCTTTTTCAGTAATGAATCCAGCCTGGCTGTCCCTGCAGGCATCCCAGGGACTCTGGATATATAAACAGGCATTCGTGGATCCCTGTTTGCTCTCCCATGGCTCTGGCTGGAGGTGGGGATTGGGCAGCCCTGAGGAAGTTGGATTTTAAGTTGCATTTTAGGGACAGATGTAGAATCCAACAGATTTTGCTCCTGCAGGAATCAGAATGCGCTGAGGGTCAAGTGATGCTCTGTGTTGGTGGTAGAGAAGCAGCTTTTTCCCAGTTTCATCCTTAACTCTCCATGTCCTCTCAGAGTACTGGAAATATGTACTTGCTCCTGGCCTGGCCAATAAAATCTGTGTTCCTAGTGGAGCAGGAATTGTCTTTTCCTGGGAGTAGGTTTGGATGCCCTTGTGGAATGATAAATTCCAAAGCTCCAGATTGCACTGTTGAAACAAGACTGGGTGTAGCACAGGTGTGTACAAAGGAGAGGTGGCACAGAGGTCAGGGCATTTAATTCTTGGAGTGTTGGGAGTGTTTTATCCATTATTTTCATGAGTTATGGGGGAGCTGACTGGGAGGATGTTGTATCTGCTGCTTGGGCACTCCATGACTAACCTCAGCACTGTAGTGTGAGGGCAAGGGGGAATGGGGTCACACTCAAAGAGAGGAAATTGAGGTTGGATATGTGGAAGGAATTCTTCCCTGGGAGGTGCTGAGGCACTGGCACAGGTTGTCCAGAGAAGCTGTGGCTGCTCCATCCCTGGAAGTGTTCCCAGCCAGGCTGGATTTGGGCTTGGAGCAACCTGGAAGTGAAGTGGAAGCCTGCCCATGGCAGGGAGTGGTACAAGATGATTTTAAGTTCCCTTCCCACCCAGACCATTCCATGATTTTTTTGTGGTTTGATAAGAATTTATTCTCTACTTTTCAATAGGAAGTGAGTCCCTTCCACCCTTCTCAGTGCCCTGGGGATGCGAAATTCCAGGTCAGCTTTGCTCTGAGGGCATAAAGCTCTAGACAGCTTCCTCCTGGATGGAGCATGAATAACAAGATGATTTTAAGTTCCCTTCCCACCCAGACCATTCCATGATTTTTTTGTGGTTTGATAAGAATTTATTCTCTACTTTTCAATAGGAAGTGAGTCCCTTCCACCCTTCTCAGTGCCCTGGGGATGCGAAATTCCAGGTCAGCTTTGCTCTGAGGGCATAAAGCTCTAGACAGCTTCCTCCTGGATGGAGCATGAATAAGGATAAAATTCCAATCTTTAACAAAACTTGGGGTTTGTCCCTCACATCACCTCTTGTATGGGTTGAGAACCTTGCCCAGGTTCTGCTGGCTGAGTCGATTACTCCTTTGACAGCACTAACTAAACCCTGGTCCTCATCCCTGCTCCATGGGGTTTGCTTTTTCCAGTGCATCCTTCCCAGGACTCTGTGGAGGGATTTTCAAGCAGCCCCCACAAAGTTTTGGTGGTGCTCAGCAGCTCTGGGTGCTCCACGACCTGAGTGTCTGCTCTGACACCACATGGGGTCAGGGAATGACCAAAGATTTTTGGGGTGGGATAGCAGGAAGCAGAACAGGCAGGGTGGTGTGGAGTGATCCCTCCTGGAGTGTGAGGTCCTTGCTGTGTGTGTGTGTATCCTGGGGTGGTGCTGGTCCCTCTGGCATCTCTGGAGCAGATTTGCTCCCTGCAGCTTGGCAGAGCCAGGAGAAGCCAATTCCTGGCCGTGCCCAGCTCCTTGTGGGAGTGCAGCCGTGTGGAGCCGACGAGGGAACTTACATAAAAGTTCTTGGCTGCTCATATTGGCTCAGCCTCAGCTTTTATCTTGCATAACTTCACTCGCTGGGGCTACCAAGAAAAGGCAAAGCCAACCATGCCAGGAGCTTTCCCTGGATCTCTGGAAGGTGTGATGGATAGCTCTGCTCCTGAGGTCACATCCCATCTCCTTGAGCTCTCCAACCTGGATCCTGGGAGAGTTTCACTTGCTGAGGGTGGTGGCTGTGTTTGGAGACCTAGAGGGATGGGGAATTGAATGGTTCCTGTTTCTCTCTTCTCCTCCTTGTAAATGATTTGACCTCCAAGTTCTCCCTCACTCCCTTTGGAGTCTCATGGCAGATGTCAGGACAGCCACTCAGTTTGTAGAAGGACTTACAGATTCTTTTCCAGCCTCCATGGCAGTGAGTCCCAAACCTTCCCTCACTCCAAGCCCTGGAGCCACATTTCCACCCAGCTCCTTTTGCCCTCCCTCATTCCACCTGATTCCTTTGGTGTCAGCCCTGCAGCTTCCCTCACCTCCTCCCACAGCACCATCCTCATACACTGAGCCAGAGGGGAAAAACAGGTGAAATCCTGCAAAATGCCAAGTTTTTCATCAATATCCAGAGGAGTCTTTTTTCCTTTTGGAGTAGAGATGAGCTGCAGATGCAGCACAACCCTCGTCCAGCCTGTGTTGGTTTAAGCAGGGTCTGACTTAACCTTCTTTAATTGGCAGCTCCATGAGGAAGGCTCTGTGTGTGCTCTGGAGCATTCCAGGCACGTGGGACACTGGAGCACAACTTCCAAAGGAATTGATGAAAGCAGAGCCACCTTATTGCAGGCACCAGCTCCCCTTTCATTAGATCCTCTCTTGTTCTCCTCACTCCTGCAGCTCGTGTGATTTGAAAATTGATGTTCAGCTGTAAAGAGTCTCTTGTGTTCCCTCTCTGCCTTTGCTCTTGGGTTTTCAGGCTAAATTGCTGCTCCATTTGCATTTAAAAGGGAGCTGTGGCATCACTGTGCCTTGCTGTTATTTGTCCAGCTCTATCCTGTTCAATTCAGCATGTTTGGCATATCCCAGAATGACAGAGATTAGAAAAGACCTCCAAGACCATCAAGTCCAACCTGTGACCCATCACCACCTTGTCAACCAGACCACAGCACTGAGTGCCACATCCAGTCCTTCCCTAAACACTTCCATGGTGACTCCACCACCTCCCTGAGCAGCACATTCCAGTTCCTGGCAGCCCTTTCCATGAAGGAATTCCTCCTGATGTCCAACCTGACCTTCCCTGGCACAGCTTGAGGCTGTTTCCTCTTGTCCTGTTGTTGCCTGGGAGCAGATCCTGATCCCACCTGGCTGCACCTCCTGGCAAGGAGTTGTAGAGAGCAAGAACATCTCCCTGAGCCTCCTTTTCTCCAGGCTGAGCCCCTCCAACTCCCTCAGCTGCTCCTCAGTTCTCCTTCTCCATATGCTCCAGCCCCTTCCCCAGCTTCATTCCCTCAGTGTCCCTTGCAGTGAGGACCCAGAGCTGACACAGCCCTGGAGGTGCCTCAGCAGTACAGTGTCTTTGCTGGGTGATGGATAAGGACATGGACTTGATTTGCATATCAGCTATTTTCCATCCAAGCTGGATTCCAGCTCAGTGCAGATCTGTCTCCCACCACGACGTGCTCGTGATGCTTCATGGAAGTGGTGGTTCATTATCCAGTGAGTGGGTTCCTTCCATGCAGCCTGTGTTGGAGGTGCTTACTCAGAAGCAGACTGGCACCACCATCATTAAAATCCCTGTAAAAGGCCTGTTTACATTCCAGATTTTGGGATAATCTGGGGGATGCCTGGCAGAGGTGAGGCAGTGTGTCCTACCACCCTCATCCTTATGGGCAGCACTGCTTCCAGCACCTTTTGGGAGGTGTGTGCCATGTCCCTAAGGTTGGGAGGGTGATGCCAGCTCCCTGTGGGATTGCTCTGGGATAAGAGGCTTTTCTTGAGGCTCCATAAGCATGGAGAGAACACCCCAAAGCAAATCCTATCCGGCATCTCCAACTCATCGCTGCTCCAGGATCACTCTCTCCTCAGAGCTTGGTGGGAATCCCTTTGGTCCTGCCATGACCAGGAGATGCTCAAAGGGCTAAATCTTGAGGGCTGAGGAGATGCTGGTTATTCCAGATGTTCTGAGAAGGAGATGGATGCTGAGCTGATCCCTGGGATAAGATGCCAAATGCTCCGTGTAGGGCGTGGGAGCTGCTGGCAGCCAGGATCTGTATTTGGAGCTGTTGGACAGGATTTGTCTTGCAGTTTTTCTCCCAAATCCAAGTCTCCTTCCTGGAATTTAGTTGAAATCACTATACAGCCTTGAAATATTATTCTGGGATCATGTGTTCTCCCAGCTTTGGTAAATGAGCCAGGCCTGCGGGAAGGGAAATGAGGAATTCCAGTGGGTCTGACTTAAAACTGTGACTTTGGTCCTTTCTCCTAGTCGTCATCTTCTCCCAAATCATCCCTCCCATGGAATGATGATGATAATAATGATGGCAGTTTTTTGATGAGGTGTTTTTCTATCCAGAGTTAAAGCCCAGGGAACATGTTGCAAGTAGACAAGGCCTTAATCACCTTAAATATTGGATTCCATCAGGATTTCCCAGTTTTCAAGCCTGGGGTGAAGGTTTTTGGAGTGTCAGGGCAGAGAGGAGTGAGGTTATTGTCCTCTAGAAGCAACTTCTGCTTTTTGTGGGTGTGTGGCTTCCTGATAAGCAAAAATTGTACATGTTGATGCTTCTACCTCGGTCTCTGTTTCCTGGGAACCGGTGTGGCTTTTTCCTGGTGTTGCTGCTATTTGCATGTCCTGTTTTAGTGCAACATGAGGATGACAACTGTCCCCTGGGAATTAAGAGGCAGCTCTGGTGTGGGGCCATATGGCATTTAGCTGGGTTTTTGGGAAGCTAAGGGGTGTTTTGAGCAGCTGTGGCAGCTCAGCTCCTCTCCTTTGGGTATCTGAGAGCATCACTTGAGAGGAAATCTGTCTCTGGGTGTCTGTTCATCTTGAGCTTTGGAATCACAGCCTCCTGCTGCAGAGCCTGTGATTCCTTTCTGCCCAAAGAGAGACGTGTTGCTAACTTCCTCCCTTGCCTTTCCAGCTGTCCCATTCCCTCCCACGCAGCGGCTCACTCTGAAGGAGGTGTTTGAGGATGGGAAGCCAAGGCTCGACGTCTTGAAGAGCCACTTGGTGAAGGAAGGGAGGCTGGAGGAGGACGCGGCGCTCAAGATCATCAACGATGGGGCTGCCATCCTCAGGCATGAGAAGACCATGATCGAGGTGGAGGCTCCCATCACAGGTCAGAGCTTGGGCCTGGAGTCCTACATGGAGAAAGGAAGGTTGTGTGGGGACCTCATAGCAACCTTCTGGTACTGGAAGTATCTGGAGAGGGTTAGGACCTTCTCAAATGGAGAAGAGAAGGTTGTGTGGGGACCTCACAGCAACCTTCTGGTACTGGAAGTACCTGGAGGTGGGGAGGACCTTCTCAAATGGAGAAGACAAGGTTGGAGAAGAGAAGGTTGTGTGGGGATCTTATAGCAATCTTCCTGTACCTGAAAGTATCCAGAGAGGGGATGAACCTTCTCTCAAATGGAGAAGAGAAGGCTGGAGAAGAGAAGGTTGTGTGGGGCCCTCACAGCAGCCTTCCAGTACTGGAAGTACCTGGAGATGGGGAGGACCTTCTCAAATGGAGAAGACAAGGCTGGAGAAGAGAAGGTTGTGTGGGGACCTCATAGCAACCTTCCTGTACCTGAAGGTGTCTGGAGAGGGGATTAATATTCTCTCAGATGGAGAAGTTAAGGTTGTGTGGGGACTTCATAGCAACCCTCCTGTATCTAAAGGAGCTGCAGGGAATAAGAAAAGGACTCTTTGTTAGGATCTGTAGTGACAGGACAAGGAGTACTACTCTGGAAGTATCTGGAGAGGTGGGGGGACCTGCTCTTAAATGGAGAAGGTTGGAGAAGATAAGGTTGTGTGAGGACCGCACAGCAACTTTCCAGTGTCTGAAGGGACTCCAGGGAAGCTGCAGAAGGATTCTTGGTTATGAACTGTAATGATAGGACAAGGAGTAATGGAGATAAATGGGAAGAGGGAGATTTAGATTAATTATTAGGAGGGTTTTCCCTGTGAGGGTGATGAGACACTGGCACAGGTTGCCCAGGGAGGCTGTGGATGCCCCAACCCTGGCAATGTTCACAGCCAGGTTGGCTAAAGCCTTGAGCAACCTGTTCTGGTGGGAGGTGTCCCTGCCCAGGGCAGGAGATTGGGACTAGATGATCTCTAAGGTCCATTCCAACCCTTTAACATGGTATGATTCCACAGAATCAGGGCCACTGGGGTACCATCAACAGCTTTAATTGTTCCTTCCCTCAACGAGGTGTTTTCACTCCCCTGAGCACTCAGAAGATGAGGGTTTAGCTGGTGTAGGTCGAGGACATCCTTGCAGGGGCGTTTGGGTCAGAGCACAGCCACACTCCACTCCTTGTTGCTGTCATGACCTTTCTTTTCTTAGCCTGTAATTCTGTCCCTCTTTTGTGCTGTTCTTCCTCCCCCAGTGTGTGGTGACATCCATGGGCAGTTTTTTGACCTGATGAAGCTGTTTGAAGTCGGAGGCTCACCCAATAACACCCGCTACCTCTTCCTGGGAGACTACGTGGACAGAGGCTACTTCAGTATAGAGGTGACAAACAAAGCTGAGCTTGCTAGTGCTAAAAGAACCAAAGGTGTGAACCTCAGTTCAAATAGAGCTCAGAACTGGTTAAAATAGAGCTCAGAACTGGTTAAAATAGAGCTCAGAATCAGTTAAAACGGAGCTCAGAATCAGGTCAGAATCAGCTCCAATAGAGCTCAGAATCAGCTCAAATAGAGCTCAGAATCAGTTAAAACAGCTCAGAATCAGCTCAAATAGCAAATACAGATCTCTTGTGCAGGATTTTACCCTCTAGTCGAGTTCTGCGTGGGCTGAAAATCACATTGGTAACTCCCAGTGTGATTTGGGGCAGAAAAACGTTGTCTGAATGTCATGATTGAGCCTTGGATCCTCCCCAGGGACAACCACACGACAGTGAAGGGGTTAAGGACTGAACTCTGCCTCGCAGTGGAGTTTGAATGTCACTTGGAGCTGTCACTCTGGGAGACAAGAGGGAGAGGTTGCAGGCAACAGGATCCTACCAGGCAGTGGGAAGCAAAACCTTGGAGGATTCAGCTGAGCAGGGAAACAAAGTGCCACGTGCCTGAGTCACTCCTTCCCCTGGAATCAGCAGCCTGGGAATGCCAGAGCCAGGAGAAAGGAGCAGGGGATCACCTGGACTGTGGTACACCTGGGTCTAACCACAGAGCTCAGTGAGGTGTTTGGTTGTGTCCCTGTGACTCTGCCTGGTCACCGTGACACTGTCACCTCACACCAGCTGAGCCTCTGGTGTCATGTGAGGACTTTGCCACCACCAGGAATTAGGCAATGCTGGGACTTGAGGACAAAGGAATTACTGAGTCCCCGTGGCTGCTGCTGGCTCAGAGGAGGCCTGGGATGGGACAGGATGGGACAGCTATTAGCAAATGCCACAAATCCCAAGGGATTGCAGCACTCTGGTTTCACAGAGGCAGAGCCAAGTGGAAAAAGAGTGGGAATGGAGTGCTTAGCCCAGTTGGAAGCAACATAACAGGGGTTGTTTGGGGAAATGGGGGCATGAAAAGTGGGCTGGAATAGCAGAGGAAGTGTTTCTCCTGAAAGAGGGAGGTGCAGGGATAGCTGAGCCGTTGGGTCTGCAGAGGAATCCTTCCCAGTGCAGTTTTGGGGAGGAACACTCAGCGCTGAGTGCAAGTGGTTCTTTGAAGGATTCTGCAGAGGCCTAAGGAAAGGACACCACTGACAGCTCATGCTGGAGCAGCTCTGGCTTCCTTCCAGCCCAGCACTCCATGCGCTCGGAATTCCCACAGGGAGCCAAGGGGTGGTGGTGAGCAGGTTCCAGGGAAGCAGGGACTGCTGGAAAGGTGGGGTTGGGACTGTTGGGATTTGGGGTGGTGCTGGCAGGAGGAGCCCTGGAAGCCCCAGGGAGGAAGGGGAAGGACATCTGGCTGCTCATACCAATTGGGTTTGCAGTTGGAGTGTATTTACCTGGGAAAGAGATTATATTCCAGCACAGCAATTCCTTCAGGGAGAAGAGGTGGATTTTTGGGGTGTTAAGAAACCTTCAAACGAGAGTTGTTGGACTCTGTGTGTATATGTATCAGTTTTGCAGGTCCTGTGGGTGTGAAGTGTTGCTCTCTTTCTGCTCTTAGCCCAGGATTGATCTGACATGGAGATTTTACTCCCAGATCTGCTGAAATGAGTGTCCAAGGCCTGGGTTTTCTGTGCTCTCATCATCACAGAATCCTGGAATGGTTTGGGTTGGAAGGGAACTTAAAGCTCATCCCATCTCACCCCCTGCCATGGACAGGGACACCTTCCACCAGCCCAGGTTGCTCCAAGCCCCATCCAACCTGGCCTGGAACACTTCCAGGGATGGAGCAACCACAGCTGCTCTGTCCACCCTGTGCCAGTGTCTCACCACCCTCCCAGGGAAGGATTTCTCCCCAGTATCCCATCTAGCTCTGCCCTCTGGCAGTGGGAAGCCATTCCCCCTTGTCCTGTCATTGTCTACCTGTGGTAGTATGGAAGAATTCCAGGGGGGTGGGTGATGAGGCCCTGGAGAACAGAGGTGGTGGGATAGAAAGGTATTTAGGGGGTTTTGAGGAGGAAGGGCTGAAAATTATAGGGCTGAGCTGTGGCCTGAGCCTGCCTCTGGCAGCTGAGTGCCTTTGGGCCATGAATCTTCAATCAGCTTTGAGAAAG